GCGCCAGCCACCTGATTTTCAGGCCTTCCAGTCCCACTGGAAGTCGGGAAGCATGCCGTTTCCGGCCTCCGGGGGGAGAGGGGGAAAAGCCATTTTCGTCCTCCCCAGGCTCCAAAGCCATTTTCGCCCTCCCCAAGCCTCTGGAGCCTGGGGAGGGCGAAAAACAGGCCTACTGGGGCCACCGTGCCAAAACCGGGGGAGCGCGGGGAGGGGAGGTCGCATGTGCATGCGTGGGAGGCAGGGTGCATTGAATTATGGGTGTGGGCACGCATGCACGCGACCCTCCGTGTCCCCCTGCTTTTGGCACGCAACGGCAAAAATGTTAGCCATCACTGTTATAGGTGCTTAATGAACATCCCGAAGCAATAAGCCTTTGCCATCTGATATTTCATCTATCTAGCTGCTAGAGCTGTGATGGCGAATCTATGCCACGTGTGCCAGAGGTGGCACACAGCACCCTCTCTGTGGGAATGTGAGCTGTCACCCCAGTTCAGGTCCACCACGTATGCACATGAGCCTCCTGGTGGCCAGCTGATCTTCGGGTCTCTGCTGCACATGCGGGGGGGCGAGGTCTGTGCGGGGGGTTCCACATGTGCATGCATGGGAAGGCATGCACATGCGTGTGACACATGCACTGGGCCGTACGCGCATTGCATTTTGGGAGTTTGGACACACGCTATGGGCACTTGGTCCGGAAAAGGTGAGCCATCACTGTGTTGGGAGTCAAAATAAAGTCTAAAATTTACCTGACTTAAAAAGACACAAGAGATTAGTGGAAATGAAATGACTTCATGCATGTTCCATTTCATTGTCTTGGCTATAGTAAAGGTGTTTGCCGTTGCAGCCTTGTGGAGAGAAAAATGAGGGGCATCTCAGCCTAGCCCTATTTGTGGGGTTTCTCTTGACTTTTCCATCTGAGTACTAATCAGAGCCAACCCTGCTCAATTTGGGGGGGGGGGGGGTGAGATTGAATATGATCTTCTAAGCCCTGGCACCTAGGGATATGCTTACAAAGGCAAGCAACATGAATGAAAAAGGACCTTAATTAGATGTTTATGAGGGGCAGGGGGCTGCAATCACGACATTTAGTGTGAAAGCAAAATATTTTCTGCTTGAAAAGGCATCAAATATGTTTTTAGTAATAAAGGTGCACGTTTTTTCAGGTTTATAAAGGTGTCGAACATCATGAGAGGGTAGAGAAAGAACAGAGCTAGTGATTCTCTATTGAAATGACCATGGATGGACTCAGACACATTCTCTTTGGGATAACCACCTGGGACTATCATAGAATAGCACTCCAATTTCCAAGTCAGGATTTCCCAACCTTGGCAACTTTAAGACGTGTGGACTTCAATTCCTAGAAGCATAGCTGGTGGGAGAATTCTGGGAATTGAAGTTCACACCTCTTAAAGTTGCTAAGGTTGGGAAACGCTATTGTTGTTGTGGCCTGTCAGCGGCCTGTACGGATTGTAGCTTATTCTGACAGCGAGGAGGCTGGTGTGGTGTTGCGCCAGCAGCCTGTGCAGCTGGCATCCGAGTCAGACAATGAGGAGGCTGGAGAAGATGTGGTGCCAGAGGCAGGGATTCAGCCAGGGCTTTCAGAACCTCCAGAAACTCCTTTAAGTGAAGAGGACGAAGAGGAGGAGCCTCTTCTCAATGCACAGGCGCGTAGAACTGCCAAAAGGCAGGAGTGGCTCCTCAGGAGGAGGTCTCCTTAAGAGTAAGGCTTGGGGCTAATTGGCCACTCCTTTAGCATTTAAGGAGGAACGCTGACTGAAGCAATTTGTAGAGAACAACTTTAGTTCATTCTCCTTTGCATCTTGATTCTGTGCAAATTGCTTCTGGGCTTTCTGCCAACCTTAGTAAGATTGTGATTACTTTATCTTTGGTTTCTGTTAAGAAAGTTTATTAACAGCCTTTGTTTGGAAAAGACTGAGTTATTTTAGTAAATTTAAGTTTTGTACAAACTTTGTGTATGCTGTATTCTTTGGGGTCCGTAGCTGGGGCAGAACAATTGTAGATGACCCAGAAGGGCACAAAGGTTGATGATATTAAAATCTGTTGTGATTCTGTTGATCCAAGAGGAATACATGCCACCATCTAAGTCCCAGTGAAGTTCATTCATCAAATCCCCCCAGGCAGCATCTGCCCATGATGAGGTTTGAAAACTGACATTTTATGACTGTTGTATGTGCAGATGTGTTTTATATATATTGTACTAGTTTTTCTTCATTTTAGCAATGTGCATGTTTTATTAATAATATGAATAACAATTTATTTAAACATTAACTAAAGTCGTGTATTTATCCCATGATAGTCCAGAGTTGCTCCAACAGTGAGATGAAGGGCATATAAATTTAATAAGTAAATAATAACCTGTAATCTTATATTGTGATGAATGCAGCTTTTCTGAAAGGCAGACTGTTGTTAGATAGAGAAGCCAGTTTTATAAACTATTCTGTTTTCCTTACTGCACAATTTGTTAGCATCCTCAAAAAATTATTCTCACAATAAAGAGAATAGTTTGTTTAGTAAACTCTTTACTATAGTAAAGAATAGTTTGTTTAGATTCATCGAATTCACTTTTAATGTAATAACAGTTTCTTCTTATTTATTTATTTGGCACATGAACAATTTGGCTTTGAATTGGTTTTTCTATGTTTCTACTATCTTCTACTAAGCCTATGCAGCCGACTCTTTTTCAATATGTCTCTAAGAAGAACCCTAAATCCTACATCTCGGCGGGTGAAATATTACTGTACTAAGTATTATACAAACAGGATATCACTGTGAGGTCCTTGATGCTCTGTGAGCTTCAAGATTTTCATGCAGGCATTTCATTACCAAACTAGGTAACATCAACAGTGCTAAAAGGACTTGCTTTTATTTTTATATTCTAGACTTGTAAGTATCATGGTGGTTCCTTGATTAGCTATTGTTTACAGTTAGCTTGTTTTGGTAGTTCCTTGATTGTGGTATTGTTTACTTTTTGATTGTCAGTCTAGTGTTGGTCTTAAGTGTTAATTTCTACTAGTATGGGTGTTGATTGCTGGTGAGGAGATGCTGTGGTGTTTTTGTTTCCTTTTGGGCATTTTAATTGTCTCTTTTGAATGATGTGTAGATGTTGTTTATCTCTACATACCTGTTGATGGCCAATTTATCTTTTTTTTTTTTTTGAAAAAAATTATTTTTATTTCTCAAAACACATTTAAATGTACAGTCTGTTATCCATCATCATTCCTCTTATCTTGTAACTATTTTTAATTATTATTAATTGTTCGGGGCTTGCTCTTTTACCAAGAGCCTTGGTGGCGCAGCAGACTAAAGTGCTGTTAAGTAGCACCAGCTGCCTGCAATTACTGCAAGTTCAAATCTCACCAGGCTCAAGGTTGACTCAGCCTTCCATCCTTTCGAGGTAGGTAAAATGAGGACCCGGATTGTGGGGGCAATAAGTTGACTTTGTATAAAAAAGAACACCACTTAGGGAGGGTCGAAAGCCCTACTAAGCAGGTATATACAAAAGTATAAGGCTATTGCTTAACACATTGTAAGCCGCCCTGAGTCTCCGGAGAAGGGCGGCATATAAATCGAACCAATAAATAAATAAATAAATAAATTTCCTCTCTTTTATTTTACCACAATTTTTCCTCCTCTTCTTCCCTTCTCTTCCTTCTGACCCTTTCTGCTTTCTTCATTCCTTCTCTCCTTCCCTTTCCTACTTCCCTTTCCCTTCCCCCACTCCTCTCTTCTTCTTCCTTTTCTAATCCTCTCTCCTACTCCTCTTTCCCCTCTCCTTTCTTCCTCTCCTTTTCCCATTTTTCTATCCCTCACTCTCCTTTCCTCTCTTCTCTCCTCCTGCTCTTTCCCTACTCCTCTCTCTTTTCCACACCCTTGTTGTTTCCATTTTCAATTCAATCTAAAATAGTATTCGAGCAGCCCCGATTTTCTATTTATAATTATATACATCTTCATTTCAATTTCTTTTTCATTTAATAATTACAACTATTTCATCATTCATGTACACTTTTTATAGCAACACTTTTTCCTTTCCCCCCCTTCCCCCTTTTTCATTTACTTAGGCATCATCTGAGTTTCTATTCTTTTCATTATCTTTTCTCTTGTTTGTCTTTTTCCTATCCACTTTATCTCTATACCTTTATTCATATTTCTTTTCTAACCAATCATAAAATTGGTTAGAATTTTTAGATGGCCGATTTATCTGAGTGCCAGTTGGGTCTGGGCGGTTTACAATGTCAGGATACAGTATTGCCTCCAACAATTGGGGTCCTCATTTAACTGACCTTGGAAGGCTGAGGCAATAGCTTTTTCTCCCTATGTTTCTTCTACATGCTGGCTAGATTAATGTAGAATATGGAGAATATATTTGAGTGTTCTTCTCACGTACAGGATAAGAGCAAGTTCTCTGCCAGTTCACCTGAAAAGAGCAAAAACCACTTTTACCAAGAGGAGGAAGATAATGTGCTCATTATATTCCTTTGCTGCAGGAATATTATTCCTACATTTCCTGAATTTTAAGTGTTTTTAAGGGCAGGACCTTCAGAGAGAAGTTCTAAGACAGAAGAATTCAGAGCAGAGAGATGGGATGGACTATTTACTGACTTCTGAAATGAAGTAGAGACAATACCTGCCTCTTTTTATCCTCCAGATAATTTATTTTTCATTTCTTACCTGCATGCTATGTTTGTCAGTGAATAGGGTTCATACTTAAGTGGTAGGAAAACAGAAGAGTTTTCCCAGCATTGTAATCTCCTGGCAGCCCTATTACTTTGATATTCTGATCTGTTGCAGCACCCCATCCTATTTTATCAAGATTGACTTTATTTCAAAGTGTACCTGCTCCTGATTCTTTTACTGCAAGCATCTAATCCTCTCGGACAGCTAATAAAATTTTGATGCCTCACAACGCAGCTTATTTTGTTCTGGAAAACTGAATATTTTTTCTCTCACCCTTCCTTTCCTCCTTTGATGTCTTCCTTTAGATTTGGCAGATTGCAAATTGATGACATTCCCCATCGCTCTTTATAAAGTCATGAGGCATGTGGCTGAAGGCATACATCTCATCACACTGGCCAATAATGAGCTGAAGTCTGTAACCAGCAAATTCATTATCACTTTTAGCCAGCTGAGAGGTAGGTGTGCATCTCTGGAGGTAACAAGAAAAAGGAAGTGTGTCTGTTGTTGCTTTTCCTTTTCCAGATGTTAGGACGTCTTCATTTTAAAAATGTATTTATGCAGAAAAAACATTTACATATTTTTTACATATTTTACATATTTACATATTTTTTCTCAGTAACCATGAATATAATGTTATAAATTGATAGTAAAACACTCGTTATCAAAATATAGGTAGTGCTTGACATACAGCAGTTTGTTAGTGGCCATTTGAAGTTACAGTGGCACTGAAAAACACTTACAGTAGTGGCCAAAATTGTGGAAACCTTTTGGGAAAAGTGTATTTTTGAGGTTCGATGGCTAATAACACCACTTTTTTTTGGAGTTTCAAGATAATCATATTCCACTGCTGGAATGGTCCAATCCTTAACCCAATTGAAAATCTATGGAGCTGACTAAAGAAACTTGTTAGTCAGAAGCGACCCATCAATAAAACCTAGTTAATAGAAGCAATCCTTCAATCTTGGTTTCACATTAGAACAGCTGCAGAACTAAAAGACTTGGTTCACTCCATGGGAAAATGTCGTAAGGCAGTAATCCATGCTAAAGGTTAGTATTAAGTATTAACTGACATGATGATAATTTTTGCATATCTCATTTTTTCTATGGTGATAATTTTTGTATATCTCATTTTTTCTACGTGTTTCACTTTACTTCTTTATACTGTAACTGCTATTCTAATAGCAAATCCTTCATAAAAGTTATTGCATTACATTCTTGATTAAATTATCTTTCCATTGATATATAATTTTATGGTACTACTTCAAAAAAAAAGGTGGTGTTATTAGCTAGTTTTAGAAAATACACTTTTCCCAAAAGGTTTCCACAATTTTGGCCACTACTTTAGTGACACCTATGACCGATTTTCACACTTGAAGCATCCCCATGGCCATGTGATCAGAGTTCAGATGCTTAACAACTGGTTCCTATTTATGACAAATGCAGATTCCCAGGTTCACGTGATCACCTTTTGCAACCTTCTGACAAACTCAGTTGGGAAACTTAAGATTCACTTAACAACCGTGTTAACTAATTTAACAACTGCAGTGATTCACTTAACAAATGGGGCAGGAAAGGTGGTACAATGGGGCAAAACTCACTTAACAAATCCCTCACTTAGCAACATAAATGTTGGGCTCAATTGTGATCGTAAATCGAGGACTACCTATAAAAGAGTCTTTTTGGAGATGGGTGGCAAATAAATTAATAATAAATAAAATTACCCTGCTCTCAAACGTTATCAGCATTGTGATCACCTTAGCTTCCCACAGCCTCACAAATGTATAATGAAAGGGTAAGATCTGAACATCAGCAAAAATTCCATGTGGGAGACTTCTGTAAGATGTTTATTTTTCGAATTTTAGACTGAACCTTCTTACTGTTGTGATGACATTGTTACTCTGCCTTGCAGCAAAGTTGAGGTTTATATCTTTCATTTTTCTGTAGAGTTCTCTGCAATGTGGAATAATCCTGTGTCCTTCAGTAACCCACCAGTTTTATTGTTTTCATTTAAGGTAGAGGTTCTCAAATAGGTCTCATTCCTATGAGTGTCTGAACAGCTTAGGGGATTTTTTTAAAAAATATCAAACTTACATGGATAAAATGGAACCACTTTCAAAGCTTACCGGCCTTCACTATACAAGCCAGCTGCAGGCTATTGTGAGAATCTCTTGATAGATAGATTAAAAATTAATTTTTAAAAGCAAGAGGTTATATTATCTCATGCCAGCTCCATTAGTTTCATTTGGAGGGAGGTCTCTCAAAATCTTTTATCACAAAGTGAGCTAGTATAAGGTGACCAGACGTCCCGCTTTTGGCGGGACAGTCCCGCTTTTGAGCAATTTGTCCCGCGTCCCGCGGCGTTTCAAAAAAGTCCCGATTTTTCTTGAGCCCCAGCTGATGGCTAGAAGAAAAAAAAACTGTTTAAACTCTTGCCCGGGGCTTCAAAGGGCCGCCCTACAGGCAATCAGTGTAAAGCAGTTTTTTTTCCCCCTAGCTAAGCTTCAGAAACGAAACCGAAACCAGGGTCTTTGGTGCAGCGTGACAAAATGAGGCAGAGAGAAATTTATTTTTATTTTTATTTTTCCTCCCCAAAAAAGGTAGGTGAAAAACTGCAAACAATGGGAAATTTAGGAGGAGAGTTCAAGATTTTAAAACACAAAGGAAAAAAAGCTGTATTTAACTAGGGAATTGTAATAATTGAGATACTATTAATTGTATATTGTGTTGAAAGCAGAAATGGTTAAGTTGTGGTTCGGAGGAATATATGGGAGAAATTATTTGGTTTATTATTATTGGTAAATATAATTAATTGATTTGTAAGAAATTGGATTGCATGGAAATAATTGGAATATTCATGTTCATATTGATTAATATACAAAAAAGATAGTTTTATAACTAATTGATTTATATTAAAATGTTGAATTTGTATTAAACAACTGTATTACATAATTACATAATTAAACAATGTGAGGATGGATATAAAAATAGATGACAATGGGAAGGGGTATAATATAGAATAGAAGGGAAAAATTGAATTTGATTAAGATTAGAGATGAGGATGAAGGGTAATATTGGTTTTTTTAAAAAATAGATGAGGAATAAATATGGCAAAAAGGAAATATAGAAATTGTAAATTTAATTGAAATGACTAAACGCTGTTTAAATTTGTGAACCAGCCAAATATTCTGTTCAAAGAAAATACATTGTATGTTTGTATGTGTGTTTCTAATTATTGCTATTTATTCATATTTGTTCTCTTTTATTCTTTAAAGTTTAACAATTCATTCTTTATCTTAATATCTTTATATTTGCTTGGGGTTGGCTTTCTTCCCTTTCATCTTTTTTATTGTACAGCAATCTTTCTCCTCAAACCTACCACCTCTCTCTTTTCTTTCCTTCTTACTTTCTCTTCCCCCCACCCTCTTTTTCTCCTCCCTACTTCCTCTTTCTTTCTCCTTCTCCTCCTCTCTTCCTCCCTCTCTTACCCTCACTCCTACTCTAATTTCCATTCCTTCATCCCTCTCTATTGCTGTAATCCTTTAATGCATATGGACTACTCAGAGGGCTGAAAAAGTTATTTTTGACTGGTCCTCACACTTTTGACCAGTCCTCGAACTTATGACTGTCCTCACATTTTACATTTTTGCCCTATCTTGTCACCATGTTGAAGAGAAGCAGTTGTGAAATGAGTGACATGGTTGTTAAGAATGCTGCACGGGCATAAATGTGAGGATGGTCATAAGTGTGAGGACCAGTCAAAAGTGCGAGGACCTGTCAGAAATGACTTTTTTCAGCCCTCTGGTTAGTCCTTTTGTGCATATGGACTACTCAGAGGGCTGAAAAAGTTATTTTTGACTGGTCCTCACACTTTTGACCAGTCCTCGAACTTACGACTGTCCTCACATTTTACATTTTTGCCCTATCTTGTCACCTTGTTGAAGAGAAGCAGTTGTGAAATGAGTGACATGGTTGTTAAGAATGCTGCACGGGCATAAATGTGAGGATGGTCATAAGTGTGAGGACCAGTCAAAAGTGTGAGGACCTGTCAGAAATGACTTTTCAGCCCTCTGAGTAGTCCCTATACACATAGCCATGGCCACCCGGTCACATGACCAGGTAGCCACGCCCACCCAGTCACATGGCCTCCAAGCCACGCCCACACAATAAGCCACGCCCACAATGGTGTCCTTCTTACCAATGTTAAAATCTGTTCACCTTACCCTATAGCCATGGCCACCCGGTCACATGACCAGCTAGCCACGCCCACCCAGTCACATGACCAGCTAGCCACGCCCACAAAATAAGCCACACCCACAATGTCCCTCTTTACCAATGTTAAAATCTGGTCACCTTAAGCTAGTACCCACCTATGGAAAGCAGAATAATGGCACAACATTATAATGTTGGCATCTGTTTCTAACAGTTTAGGGAACTGGGGGGTAAAACACTGATTTCATGCAAGGAATGAGAAGAAGAACTAGTACATTATCTTCTAAGGTGAATAAATGATTCCCTGACAGATTTAATTACCTCCTCAAAGGTTAAAAGGAATTTTGCATTTTATTAAGATTGTTGAAAAGTAATAGGGCATTTGAGGAATATGTAGAGTGAAACTATGAAACTAGAGTGACTCTAGAAAGAGTGCAGAGAAGAGCAACAAAGATGATTAGGGAACCAGAGGCTAAAACATATAAAGAACGGTTGCAGGAACTGGGTATGTCTAGTTTAATGAAAAGAAGGACTAGGGGAGATATCCAATATCTCAGGGGCTGCCACAAAGAAGAGGGAGTCAAGCTATTCTCCAAAGCTCCTGAGGGCAGGACAAGAAGCAAGGGGTGGAAACTAATCAAGGAGAGAAGCAACCTAGAACTAAGGAGAAATTTCCTGACAGTTAGAACAATTAATCAGTAGAACAATTTGCCTCTAGAAGTTGTGAATGCTCCAACACTGGAAGTTTTTAAGAAGAAGTTGGATAACCATTTGTCTGAAGTGGTGTAGGGTTTCCTGCCTAGGCAGGGGGTTGGACTAGAAGACCTCCAAGGTCCCTTCCAACTCTGTTGCTCTATTTTTCTATTTTTTTTTCTACAATCAAATTGCTACGTATAAATAATATGAGCTTTGATGAAATATATACTGAGGAAGCAACAGTATGTGGTTGCAAAGGATTAATGAGGTTCGACAGAGGCGCAGAACAAAAATGCATACTGTATTTTGATAAAACAATTCTAACAGACAAAACAATTGAGTGGCTGAGTGAATAATATTTATAGAGGAAAGATACATATGGCTGCTTATGTTTATTTTTTAAAGCTTTCTGTACTGTTAGCTATTCAAAGGTGCTGGAGTACATTGTGTCTCCTTACAAATCATTTAATCATTGATTGACTGAACATTTTAGTAGCTGTGCAGGCTGTGATGCAAAAATATGGAATGATGAAAGGAAAATTTGAGTGTC